GCCAAGAAAGGAATAGAAGTTAAAGGAGGAACTATTGATGCTGGATATACTGGAAATATTGGAGTTCTTTTGCATAACAATTTCAATGAATCTTATGAAATTCAACTGGATGAATGAATTGCTCAAGCTGTCTTTTTACAACTTGCCCCAATTGAAGGAATGACATCTATAAATACTAGAGAAGAATTAGAAGAATTATCTTGTAGAACTCAAGGATTTGAATCAATTGAAAAGGATAAAATAGAAGCGTACTTTCTAGACAAAGAAGAAATCACAAAAGTAGTTGAATAAAGGGAGTTAACACTTGGACAACAAGATGTCTTGCATAATTTATTACAAGCTTATAAAGATATCTTTGCAGCAGATCTTAATAAACTTGGATGAATCAATATTATTCAACATTCAATTAATACTGGAAATAAAAAGCCTGTTCATCAAAAGGCTTACAGAGCAATCTTACCTGATCAAGAATTTATTCATGATGAAATTTAACGAATATTAGATGCAAATATTATTCAAAAATCCAATAGTTTCTGGACCTCACCTATTGTAGTAGCAGCAAAGAAAAATGACAAGAAATGATTTTGTGTTGATTACAGAAAACTTAATACATTCACCAAGAAAGTTACCTACCCTCTACCATGGATTGATGAAATGATGGATAATCTTGAAGATGCGAAATGGTTTTTGTCTATGGATCTTACCTCCAGTTACTGGCAAATCAAAATGGAACTATTCAGTATTGAAAAGACAGCATTTATTTCAAGAGAAGGATTATATGAATTTAAAGTTATGCCTTTTGAACTTTGTAATGCACCAGCAACTTTTCAATGAGCTATAGATAGCATACTTGAAGATTATAATTGGAAATTCGCCATGATCTATATTGATGATATAAATATATATTCAAAAACTTGGGAAGAACATCTGGAATATTTACAAAAAGTAGATTACTTTCAATAATGTGCTCTTCTCGTACATTTAATTTTATTTGGTAAGATTCCTGTTTCTAGATTATTTGAATAAACAAATTAGTATCATAATAACCATTCCATTAAAAATACAGATAACGCATATATACTAACATCCTTTTCTTTCAATGCATCTTTAATAAATTGAGTTTTATTTTTTCCTTTTGTATATAGATACCGTCCCAGTAGGTCACTACTGAGTTGGCGTTGATAAGTTTGTCAAAATTTGCCAACAGTTTCCGAGCTTTCACGTTATTTTCGGATGCGATAATTTTCAATGATTCGTATAAGACTTCTTCTGCCTCTTTCTTTCGAGCGAAAGGGAAATTTAAATTTTTATAAAACTTGACAGCGTTAAAGTTTTTGTCTGATATAAGTTCTTTTAATTGTTCGACATATGCCTGTTGAGAAAGATAAGTTAATAGCCTGAATCAATTTTAACGACGATAAAGAATCGATTGAGACAACCATGACGCCTATAAACTAAAGAAGAAATACGTATAGTAAGCAAAGTTTTAGAATAAAATTGAGAAACGCTCTTTATTTTTAACCCGAAACTTTTTTCGGATAATCTAAGATCGCTACGATATGTAGCCATTTCGTCAACCACAACCAGAGGAAGACGAAACCCCTCAGGATTTACGGGCTGGGGAAACGCTAGTTTTGAAAACTAGAACCTGAGTTATCCTCTAAAAATCGCTAGATAACCATTTCGTCAACCACAGCCAGAGGAAGACGAAACCCCTCAGGACTTACGGGCTGGGGAAACGCCGGGTTGAAAGAAATGCAACTATGAAATCATACTTGACCTTTCAAATCGAAGGAATAACTTGAAGAAGAGCAATGTTGGGGTTATGAGATTCTTAATCCAAGTGCTAATATTGTTGTTTGTATCGAGTTGTTTGGTATTAGAATAATTAGTCGTAACTGTAGCCGACGTGCGTGTGGTTATCAGTCACTGCAATCACCAATTAAATTTTGTACTACATAATTAGCGGAAGATAAAATATGGCATATTAATATTAATGTAAGCTTTCGAAAGACAAAGGTACTTAATAATAGGGTATTTCTACCTTTATATAGAGATCCTTCTGCCAATATTGGTCCTTTGAAAAGTCTTTTACTTGAGAAATTAACCATTAATATATGTAAAAATTTTTCGCTCAAACGTAATCAGATTTTGGTGATACAAAATGGAAAATAAAGCCAAGATCGCCAACTATTTCAGGATGTTTACAACTTTAGCAACGCGTAACTGTTACGCGTTGCTAAAGTTGTAAACATCCTGAAATAGTTTTGGCTGAGCCCTTAAGCCGCCAATATGAGCCGTCGTGTGGATTTTAAGGCTCAGCCATTTTATTAATTTCCAAATTAGGAAATGTTGTTCGGATAATAGTGCTCACGTTCACTTGCAGATTTGGCCAATCATCATTGAACACGATATTTAATATCGATTTTTTCACGACATTTTCTGT